TGCTAAAAGTTAAGACTGAAAGTGAATGCATCTGATACTTATCTATATTGGATGACATAGATATATTGCTGTAAGAAAAAAAATCTGAAGTACAAGGTATAAACTTCAGTCTAGAAACTAGAAAACAGAGAATATGATTTAATATTTAGCAATATGTTACATATAAAGCTGTAATTGGGCTCTTGTGGCTTTTGCAATTTATACTACATATTTAGAAAGTCTAAATAGTCCAGATACAATTTATGGAGACAACACTTTATATACAACAATGCGTAACACTTCCTGACAAATCCATGTATACTAATTGTAACCCAGTAAAAAAAAAGCTGCAACAATAAATAAGCATAGTCTATATCAAAAATCATTACAGTAATTGCTGACCTTACAATCAACATCTTCAAGACTTTTATAATGATGCAAACTGGTATTGTCTACACCAGTATATAACAATGTAGCACCACTTACACAGCAAATTGGCCGAAGTTGAACTATAGACAAATCAATTCTATCTTTTTGCAAAATTGACATACTGTAAAGCTTTACATATTTTTTACAATGATTTGCAAAGCAGAAAAATGTGAGAGCCAGTTTAAAAAAGAAGAGCAAAGAAAGTTCTAGTGAAAGTGTAGCTATTGGTCATAGCACCTACTATTGAGTTTTCTCTTTTATTCTGTACAAAACTAAAACAAGGAATGTGTTTATAATGGACTGCAGCCCTAATTTATCTCTAGAATTCTTTGCTCCAATGTACGTAAATCAGTCTGTGTGTGTGTGTGTCCAGATAAAGAAAAACGTATACATTTTAAGGTTTACCAACAGCTTACCAGGATCCATCCAAAGATAAGGATAAGGAATGGCTGTGCGGAGAACCTTACTTATTTATGGATTTATGGTTTTACATATATATATAGTGTAGTGTATATTTGTTTATTTTTGTGCGTATACATTTACACAAATGTATACATATCAGTATATACTGTACATGCACGTAGATTTTATATATTTTGTATAAATACACTTTCATCATTCTTTTTGTACAAAGAATGAGCAAAGGACACTTGCTCTATTAACATATACCCACGTATTCTAACTTCACTAATCAATGTTGAAATAGTGATTATGTTCTTATGTGAATCATATTATGCATTCCGAATATTAATTGTCTCCTTGTGTAAAGGTGTGCTCGGGCCTTCCAATTCACATTCAGCTGAATTCACAGCATTAACTATAGCATACTTCAATTTCAACAGTCTCATTAAAGTACTAAAATACAACCATCTAGAAAAAGTTCTCTTCTAAAGAAAGGGGAAAAATATGACCTTCATTAATGCAGCTCTGCCAGGAAAAGTACTATATGTAGCATCGACATAATGCAAAGAGCTTTGATAAAAACCTTTTTTCAGGAATGAAAAATCTCAGAACATTGGAATAAGTGGATAAAGAAACAAGAGGGAACAATGTGTGTCAAAAAAATGGCTTATGTTCATATTCACATGACATGCAAATACATATTCTGTATGCATTTGCTGTGTCTCCGGCTAAATTTCTAAAGTCACAATTAACCAGCCTACCTCCTGTTGATCCTCAGACAGTGCTTCCCCACATGTGGCTACTTCCATATTCTGTTTCCATTACATTTGTAAAAAATGAGAATTTTCTTTTCTTGATTGGAGCATCAGGCTTCAGTGGATGTTTTTAAGCTTCATTTCAACTGACAATGCTGAATTGAAGTCCATATTAAGAATGCAGTGAGAAATTTATGAGATCAAAGACAGTCTTGTTGCAGCAACAGCAGGCAAGTGAAAGAAACAACATCTTCTGTATTGTCTTCGTGACAATTCTAGTTATTAAAATTTATGTCATTTAAACTTTGATTTTCAATTCATCTGAATAATTTAAATTAGTTTGAGCAAGAAGTATGCTTTTTTTTGCTGTTTCTTATTATGAGTTTAATGTGAAAATGACATTTAAAATGAACGATTTCCTTTTTTTTATCTTCTTTTTTGTGAAACCACTCTAGCATTGAAGGTTAATATTTTTATCATTATTCTTATTAGCAATTTTTTGATTATTGTAGCAGTAGAAGATGTAATGGTATTCAGTTTTTTATTTTTAATGTCCTTTGTGTTGAGGCAAATTTAGCATCTAATACAAACCATCATTTTATATTGGACAGTTTCTTTAGGTGCAATGGAATAGATGTTGATCAGAGATAGGTTTTCTCCCAACCAATGCATTGTTACAAATAAATTCACATATACAGGAAAATATTACTTGTACAGTGTATAGGCAACGAACAATTAAACATTAATGTATCAGAAACCAGTAGGTTTATGAAGCCATATAGGGACACGGTGCAGGTGGCTGCTCTTGACATGACATATAGCTGTATGTGTACTTCACATATCTATCCCCAACCAGGGTATCTGATCTTACTAGTTTTTTGGGGTGCAATATGAGATGTTGACCTCTGTTGACCAACGACTGTGATTGCCAGAGTTTATTCCTCATGGTGAACAGGGGTTACTTAAAGGGGCATGGCATGTACTGTAAGTGCATGTCTGCACATTAGAAGACTAAAAATGCAGTTGTATGCTTTATTGGCCCACTGGCACGGAGCTGTGCTGACATACAAGTGGATTGCATTAAACTCCATTCATCAAAAACATAAAAGATGAACAGAGGTGCAAGGAAACATGGATGAGCAGGCATAAACATTTTGAATTCCTTGCACAAAGATTAGTAGAAAATATTATGTATTATTATTCCTAATATTAATAATTTGATGTTCAGTAAATTACCCTCTATATTTTACTATTCTTGTCAGAATGTGAAAGCAGCATGTCTATGTGGATAATTTATGTACATTAAACTCTGTCAGATAGCAGCAAACACTTTTAGATTGCACAGATCAGTGATTAAAAGGGGTCTTTGTGAATGATCCTGGGAACAGGTGGATATGTTTGCTGAAGGGATTTATATGAGCAAAAAATCTTATTGCAAGACATATTTGCTTTCACTTAGCACACTGCTTCAATTACCTGATATAATTCTGCATTTGGATTTCTGTTGATAGGCAAATGGGGAGGGGGAGTGGAGAGTGGTGCTTTCACATAATTAAAATCAATGGCCTATTTGCTGATATTAGTAGAAGAACAGCAACATCTAAAAGATAGATCTGTGCTCACACAACTAGCTATACAATATATTTCAAAGTAGGTCAATGGAACAGCATAGAAGGTTCATGGAAAAACTTCTATGGATTGAAAAATCTGCACTGATTGCTGTTTAAAAAAAGATGGTAAAACTCTTTAGAAATATATGATTCTTTTATTAATACACGATAGACTATGTTCCTATTTGTTGTTACACTTACTGTATACACAGTCCCATTAGGATATATTTAACACTTCTATTTTGCTTTAAAAAAAATGTATTTTAACAGAAAACATTCAAATCAACCAAGTATTACATGATTTCAAGTAGTCTGCAGTTCTGCAATGCACATTTGGACTAATCAGTTTGACACCATATGCACACATTTTTTTGGCATAAGGCACTCTGAGGAGGCCATTGTGTACTGATTTCACACCTGCATTGTGTGCACAATATTAAAAACAGAATGTGTGCATGCAAAGCTGAGAAAAAGAACATTAGTTGGGTTTAATATCTAGTAATTGTCTAGTGTAGTGTACAATTATATATAGTATTAGGTGTATTCAACAAATACAGATGCCCATATTGTCTTGGAGGAATAATTGCTATTATTCAAGTAATTCAACCTGTCCAGTAAATCCCTCTACCATGAAGACTGATCAGCTGAAAATATCTACTGTGGATTGTCAGTGACAATTGATATTCACAAACTGGCAGGTTTAGGTTATGAAGGTCTTATGTACATGGCATCTTAACATGGACCTTTACTTTCTGTTTTCAGAAATTTCAGAAATTATGTATTTCATAATTTTTTAAAACCTTTTATGGGGAACCCTTTTTGCACTTTCATGTATTCTTGTCTGGACAAGAATTACATATTTGATGCTGTCATGCTCTTGGAATGCCCATTACACCCATCCGAGGAGGACTTTGGGTACTCTACAATGTGCATCATCAAGGAACTGGCTGTCTCTCCCTTGTTCTTACAGCGACCTTTCCTGATGATGCACCACGGTGCCTGTGAGCTGACAGAGGAACAGCTGCAAGAACCCAGGAGAGGCAGCTGGCCTCTTCTTGACATTAGAGAATATTATGGTGCTAATCAGTATGACACCACTGTAAAACATTACTTGATCACTGGGTGTGTGAGGATTTTTTTCCATAACCTGCAATCAAAAAAAGTAAGATGGGAAAAAGGGGGGCTATGTTCCTCTTTAAATTAAGAATTAAATAAATTCTGTATCACCTCTCAAAAAAATGTTCAAGCATAGAAAAATAGTCTTATGCTTGGGACCTGAAGCTGCTTAAATTGCACTATGTAAAAAGAAATAAGTTAAATCACAAAATGATAATTTCACAAGACTTATGTTTGCCAATAAATAGTAGAAAAAATCCGGCATTTAACAGACAAGATATCTACATGCTGTTAAATAGCTAATGTCAGCAGGAACAGGCCAATATGTTCATATGATTCCTTAAATTCTTTAGAAAATGGCCAAGTGTCAGATGTTCTACCAGCTGAATGATAGCTAAATGTAGAAAATCTTATCAAAATGTGTTAATCTTGTATATTAAAAAAATGTTTGTATATATTGCTTGTTATTATAATTGTACATGGGAGAAAACATGCTTGTTTATTTCATGAGCCAATGTTTCATCCTGCTGACCCTTTGATAAGGTCTGCTTAATTAAAACCAAATTACTCCTTCCAATCTCTAGTAATGTGATATAAGCACAATGGCCCTGATATAGACTATACACTATATTGCCAAAAGTATTGGGACACACCTCCAAATCATTGGATTAAGGTGTTCCAATCACCTCTATGGCCACAGATGTATAAAATCAAGCACCTAGACATGCAGACTGCTTCTACAAACATTTGTGAAAGAATGGGTCACTCTCAGGAGCTCAGTGAATTCAAGCGTGGTACCGTGATAGGTTGCCACCTGTGCAATAAGTCCATCCGTGAAATTACCTTGCTGCTAAATATTCCACAGTCAACTGTTAGTGGTATTATAACATAATGGAAGCATCTGGGAACAACAGCAACTCAGCCATGAAGTGGTAGGCCACATAAAATGACAGAGAGGAGTCAGCGCATGCTGAAGCGCACAGTGCGCAGAAGTTGCCAACTATCTGCAGAGTCAATAGCTAAATACCTCAAACTTCATGTGGCCTTCAGATTAGTGCAACAACAATGTATAGAGAGCTTCATGGAATGGGTCTCCATGGCCAAGCAGCTGCGTCCGAGCCTTACATCACCAGGTGCAATGCAAAGTGTTGGATGCAGTGGTGTATAGCACACTGCCACTGGACTGTAGAGCAGTGGAGACGTGTTCTCTGGAGTGATGAATCACGCTTCTCTGTCTGGCAATCCGATGGACGTGTCTGGGTTTGGTTGCTGCCAGGATAAAGGTACTTGCCTGACTGCACTGTGTCAAGTGTAAAGTTTGATGGAGGGGGGATTATGATGTGAGGTTGTTTTTCAGGGGTTGGGCTTGGCCCCTTAGTTCTAGTGAATGGAACTCTTAAGGCATCAGCATCCCAAGACATTTTGGACAATTTCATGCTCCCAACTTTGTGGGAACAGTTTGGGGATGGCCCCTTCCTGTTCCAACATGACTGCGCACCAGTTCACAAAGCAAGGTCTATCAAGACATGGATGAGTAAGTTTGAGATGGAGGAACTTGACTGGCCTGCACAGAGTCCTGACGTCAACCTGATAGAACACCTTTGGGATGAATTAGAGCGGAGACTAAGAGCCAGGCCTTCTTGTCCAACATCATTGCCTGACCTCAAAAATGCGCTTCTGGAAGAATGGTCAAACATTCCCATAGACACACTCCTAAACCTTGTGGACAGCCTTCCCAAAAGAGTTGAATCTGTTATAGCTGCAAAGGGTGGACCAACTCAATAATGAACCCTACAGACTAAGACTGGGATGCCATTTAAGTTCATGTGCGTGTAAAGGCAGGCATCCCAATACTTTTGGCAATATAGTGTATATGTCAATAAAATACTTTTCAACAACATACTCTCTATAAGTTCTTATTCATTCAAAGGTTTTATTGAATGAAAGAATCAGCATGTGACCGTTTAAGAATGATCATCTCTCAAAATATCTTTTTTTTTATGACAAATGCATGTTGGGTAAGCCTCCCATATGATGTATTAAGGTTCTGCATATATCATCTATCAGCCTTCAAAACAAATAAAAGTACAATCAAGTTTTGCATCAGTTTTGCATGCAGTAGTGTTGAGTTATTAACATAGTAGAGATTGCTCATTTAACAACATCAATGTTCACTTTGTAAATGACCATTAGTAAATTAGGTGAAGCTGTGCTCTCTTTAAATACTGAATCACATTCTAGAAAACAATCGATTCTTAGTTTTTTGTTTGTTTCCCTCACACCTCAATGGACATTCAAAGTGAACACAGTTTGACCCTATTTATTAACATTGGCTTTTTGTTTCCAATAGATTTTTATTGATTTTCTCAATGAAAGAATATTGACTTTTTAAAATGAACATTTACTAGGTGAGTTACTTCAACTCCTTTAGTAAATCACGTGCAATGCCACTTTTTGAATAAATTCTTTATTTAGCAGGTTAACAGAAGGGTTGACAACTCTTTCATAATCATAGTGTTATGTCACTTTTTTTACTTATTCTGAAGGCTTTTTTTTTCCATGTCAAATGAAACATTGCATGCAGTTGCAATGCAGACACTATACATTTTCATGTGTGTAATGGAAAGTATAGCAATCTGTGCTCATAAGCAAGCTCATCAGCTTGCTTTATGTAGGGACACCAGTTTTGAAGACAAAACACTGAATTTATAGGAAACTCCAACACTGTTACAAGGAAATTATCTCTTAATGGAAATGGTGAACTATGGGTAACATACTGCCTGAGACCTGGCTGAAACAAATTTAATATATTCAGTTTGATGTATGTAAACATAAGGTGGTTTGGAATTCACAGAGCTCCCAGCTGTGAAGTTATTCTTTACAAAACAATGAAGAAATTCTTCTAGAGGATTATTGGTCATAAAACAAGAGATACATGACAAGCTCAGCAATAATGAATGTAATGACTCCTTTTTGTCCCTTTCTAATGTTTTCATCTTCTGCTCTGCATGAGGTTTTTGTGCACCCAAAGTCCCCCTCTAAGGATGCTTAAATAATGAACATGACAAAGATACTCTCCTTCTCAAGCTCCATGCCAGACATTATCTTTATAGTAGGTTAAATTTATTTGAACAAACCTTTTTTTTCTCTTTGTTTTCTCTCACTTTTCATGTATTCAAGCCTTAAAATTGTCACTATTGTAAGCAGATTTGTAGATCAACTTTTAGACATAAAAGAAACTGAACTTGGAAAATAGATGAGATTCATTATTTGAAGACACTTTGGAATGGAACAGAAATAAAAAAAAAATAAATAATAAAAAGTAAATATCATACCAAGAGGCAATGTAAATATCCAATAGGATAATTAGAAGTCTGGGTCGAATAAATAAGCAGTAAGTTGAAAATTGGTCAAATTTACAATCATTATCAGAGTTCCTTCAAATTCACATGTGTAATTGCCTAAACAGTGTTAGATAATGAGTTTATGTGAAATCTCCATTAACAGATGTAAATAATATTATAATTAGAAATATATTTTAGTTAGAAATGAACAGCATTTAAACCAATGAATATGTTGCGGCATCAAACTATTCCTAGCTTCCCTACTAGTCACTGTAAATAGTTTTCCACTTCTTTAAATCCTACAATCAGGCTGTGCCCAATTTACATTTCCTGGGTACAGTGACAAATTAGGTAGCATTATATTAGCCACAGTACAGAAAGGAGAGGGGAATATAATGCTTTGTCACCAAGCTGGGGGTCCTCTTTGTGTTGGGACTCTCAGCAGCTAGCATGACCAGACCTGACGTTTCGATGTAAACTAACTGCATACTTGTATCGCAAATATGATTTTGTGGGTAATTTATAAATCTTGTATAAGGCAAGGGACTTATACTGTACATTGTGCTGTAAATACTGTTTAGCATGTAATTTGCACATATGATGTAACTCTATCAATAAATGTACATTACAGATGGAACTACCTCTTTTGTGTAAGAACTCTCAGATCTAGCTGTGTACATGTAAATACTCCTACAGTGATTAGGGTGCATTCACATATACACATAACCTAGTAAACACTAGCCACACTTATGGTGGAGAATAGGGAGTCCCTGTGTTCTATTCATGCAAATGGAACAGGTTTCTGATCTCTCTAACCTAAACCAAAGGTAGTCAAAGGCCATCCTCATCCCCTTCCATAATTGGTGGTGTCACAGGTAGTGTTGATAGTTTAAAAAAACTGTATGCAATATACAGGGATATGGGAATGGTAGAAACATAAACAGGTACACACTCATACACCGACACAGGTTGAACTGAATGAACTGATGTCTTTATTCAACCTTACCAACTATGCAACTCTTTACCTATATGTTCAACAGAGAAGCACAGGTTCCAGTTCAGATATAAACAGACTATATGTAACTGGGAGTAGACTGATGATCATTATTATTATTATTATAATACAGGATTTATATAGCGCCAACAGTTTGCTCAGTGCTGTACAATATAAAGGGAGACAATACAGCAATGATACAATTCAATACAAGAGAATTAGGATGGCCCTGCTTCTGGGAGCTTGCAATCTAATAGGGCAGGGCTAGTGGTACAAAAGGTAATAACTTTGGGGGATGAACTGATGGGAGAAATAGAAGATTTGGTTATTAGCTGAAGGCAGGATAGACTTCTCTGAAGAGGTAGGTTTTCAGAGATCGCCTAAAAGTGGGCAGAGTAGGCAATATTCGGATAGATTGGGGTAGAGAGTTCCAGAGGGTGGGGGAGGCTCTGAAGAAGTCCTGGAGACGAGCATGAGAAGAGGAGACAAGGAAGCTAAAGAGCAGGAGGTCTTGGGAGGAGCAGAGCGGACGGTTTGGATGATATTTAGAAACAAGATTAGTGATGTAATTTGGGGCAGAGTTGTAAATGGCTTTATATGTTATTGCTAATGCTTTGAATTTTATTTGTTATGCAATGGGAACCCAGTGGAGATATTGGCAAAGAGGTATTGCAGACATGGAATGGTTGGTAAGGTGGATGAGTCTGGCAGCAGCATTCATGATAGACTGAAGAGGGGATAGCCTGCAATTATGTAGGCCAATGAGAAGGGAGTTACAATAGTCAAGGCAAGAGATAACAAGGGAGTCAATAAGTTGTTTAGTGGTTTCAATGGTTAAAAAGGGGCATATTTTGGAGATGTTACGGAGGTGAAGTCTACAAGAATTGGACAGTGATGGCATTTGGGGCTGAAAGGACAGATGGGAGTCCAGGATTACACCTAGTACCCTGTCATGAGAGGAGGGACTAATGATTGTATTATAGATCTTGATGGAGAAGTCAGGGGAGGGGGATGGACTGGAGGGAATATTATGAGCTCGATTTTAGAAAGATTGAGTTTGACCATCATAAGCTTTCACATGCAGGGCCCCTTGAACCTTCTTATATTAAATTGTATTTTAACTGTACCATTTCCCTTTATTTTCAAGTACTATGCAAACTATTGATGCTAAATAAATTCTGTATAATAATATTAATAATTCCAAAATGTGCACCCCTACTCTGATGGTACATTTTTATCCAAACTATTCGGACAGAGCTTTATTGATATGCTTGCACCACCGGTATAATGCTATGAATTTTCTTTTATGGTGGGACACTTATTCAGTAATATCACTGGGTAGTTTAAATGAATGGGCAGTGGGGCATGACACTGAAGTTATGATTTTTGTGAAACAATTGCAGGACTGTGTGGTATATACTGTAAGTAGAGGAGATTCTATATATCTATTTGTATGCACAATAATTTAAAATAAGCAAATGAATAAAGACAAGGCTGGATGGGTAGATGTAGATAAATAGAGTGACAGATATAAGATAGATAGATAGATAGATAGATAGATAGATAGATAGATAGATAGATAGATACAGAGATCAATAGGATGAACAATAACTTACGTTGTCTATTATCAATTTGCATTTATATTAGTAACTGGCAATATACATAAAAAATATGTTTAAATCAACAAATTTCCTTTGATGGTATATATGCAGTTGCATAAAATGATTGTGACTCACCAGGGAAAAAATACACACATAATGTTTTAATGCTAGCAGTGCATTTTCCTTTCTACATATATTGTATTCTGTAGCTATAAAAGGCAGACAGGCTCTTTTTTTCTTTTGAATAAACACCTCCACAGGCCCAAGAAATTCTGTCATTCAACAGAAATGAAATATACGCTCCAATGGCTAGTCAGTAGCTCCTTTGAGAAATGTGTTGTAGGATAATGTAGAGTTTTGGACTGCATCATAACTGCAATC